CAGTCAAGCATGTAGTAATGTATTAAGCACCTGGATGTGTTCTACTGTAGATCATTATGCTACCACTTATGGAGACAAAGGATGGGGATGTGGTTACAGAAATTTACAAATGTTAATTTCATCACTTTTACAACATACAGGGTATAATGAGTTAGTTTATAAAGCATGGAATTCTGGTTTGGATAGTGGTAGTTCTACCAAGAATCCATTACGAAGTTCAATACCGTCGATCTCTAGACTTCAGAAAATGATAGAGTGGGCTTGGGCTCAAGGTTTTGATACCCAAGGAGCAGAACAATTGGGAGGAAAATTGGTGAATACTAGAAAATGGATTGGTCCTACAGAAGTAGTCATATTATTATCTAGTTTGAGAATAAAGTATGTTTTTTAATTTTCATTCATATTTCTCTATCAGAATCACATTATATATAATATTTTCATTTTAGATGTCAGTTAATAGATTTTTATACACCAACTAATTCTGATGGTGGACATCCTGAAATGTTTAATTGGGTTTTACAATACTTCCAACGTTGTGATGATTTTAAACCACCTCTTTATTTACAGCATCAAGGTAAATACTTATGTGAAAAAAAAAAAGAATTAAAAATATGAAAAAAAAATAAAATAAGAAAAGAAATTAAATATTATTCTCATTCAGGTCATAGTAGAACAATAATAGGAGTAGAACAATTAAGAGATGGTTCAATAACAATGTTAGTACTCGATCCAAGCCATAGCCCAGCACAAATGGCACAATTTAACAATACAAGTAGTGCACTCGGTGCAATGCGTTTGGTGCGAAAATCGATTGCAGCGATGAAAGCAAGACAGTATCAAGTTGTTGCTGTTACCGGTATCATGGAAACTGACTTAGAATATCATGTAATTTCTCTTATTTAAAATTTTTCTAAAATTTATTTATTGTTCTTATTTTATGTATCTTTATTTTATATATCTATATTTTTAATTACATTTTTATATTATTTATCATATTTCTATAATTTCAGGAAAGCAAAGTGTTACGTTTAATTCGTGTACCACAAGATAGGTGAGACTTACTGGCTCGAAAAGAAATTAAATCTTTTGGAAAGACGATAGACTGCCTGAAACCAATTTTGTCCGGCATCCTTAAAGTTACATGACCGCAATGTTCTAGGTTTTATTAATAGGGGATTTGCTCCACCATAGTAGTTGCAAAAATATTATTTAACAATATATTCTTGCATATTTTCGCCGTCGTATGTCGGTTTCTCAAATCACGTGTATTTAAGCCTGCGTCGCGGTTCAGAATTTTGGAGTTAAAATCGATGAACTTATAAATTTACAATTTTTAAAAAAAAAATCTGTATATTGCGAAAATTAATTTTTTTTATCAGCATTAAAAATATTGTACTTTGATGTGTGCTTGAGAAAAAATTATAATCAGGATGTATGTTCAAAGATAAAATCGATTGAAATTTTTTGGTCTAAATAATGTTCTGCTCAATTTTCGTCGCACCGAACAGGTTGTGCTAATTTTTAATTGATCAATCGACTTATGCCGATCGGTTGCATCAGCGAAAAAAGCCATGGCAGAGCTTGAAAAATGAGACTCTTTCGTAGCTGTGATGCTGTTAACAATTTAATGCTAATCACCGATTCTTAATATTTTTGAAGACACTCCATATGATCATTAAAAAAAGCATTGTCCATGTTTTAACTTCTTTCACTTGTATTTTACATTTTTAATAAACATTATTGTCACAATATTGTCAATTTTTAGTCAGTATAAGTATCAATAATAACGATATATCACAATTCGCGTTATATATAATGAATTTTATAAATCATTCTAAAAAAATTATTCTCAAATAAATTTTTATTATTGTTGTTTTTACATAGTTTTTGGGGTGTCTACAAGAATAAACAACATATTTCCATATATTATATATACATTTATCTATATACATATACACATATGTGCACACATTCTTCGTTATATTACACTTCATTCACTCATACATAAAGTACAACTACTTTCATACTATTTATGAATAATGTATTTAATTATTGGATTACTTTAAGACTTATCCATACCTTAACATGTAAGTTAAACACAATGTTGAGAGAGAAAAAGATCAGATAGTCCATTTCCTTGTTATTTATATAACATAATTAAAAGTTATATTATTTTTATTCTTATAATTATAATCATTAATATTATTGTTATTATTATTATTATTATTATTATGATATTTATTATATTTACTGTAAATTATATCAATATACACAACTTCTATTTATTATAGTTGGAAAAAATATTGAAAATCATTAAGAAGTTTGATATTTGTTATTGTGGAAAATATTATTAAAAATTATTATTATTGTTTTATTATTTTTACATAAATGAATGTTACATATAAAAGGCACTAATTGGATAAATATTTGTCTTTCTATTTATTAAGATCATATAAAATATGATTGACAAGAAAATGACAATTATTACTTGCATTAAATTCATCATATATTGATTAAGAATATGTTCAACATTTTGGAATGTTCAGGCAAAGCAAATTATGGAATTGTTAAGCAAGTGTAAAAAAACTTCAAATTATTCACATGTCAAATTAAAATATATGCTTTGTGTTAGAATTCCCAATTTATGTGTGATTGTTTTATACCATTTAAAAAACAGAATATTTTTTTCATCTCAATATAAAAACTTATATGTGTGAAGGTAGGGAAATTTAAATAAAAAATACATTTGATACAAACAAAATAATTTATTTTTTTCTAAATTAAATATTTAATATTAATATTATCATTGTTAAAAAAAATATTATATCATTCGTATAAATTAAATATTATTTATTCAAATACAAAGTTTGTTTCTACAAACAAAATATAACCTGAGAATTTGTTACATCATCTACAGTAATAAATATTTATATATTTATTTATATGTTAAATCCTAGTGATCGCATACAAGTTTTATGTTCTTCTATTAAATCCCTGCAGTTTTCTTCACCTTTAGTAATAATACTGAAAAAAAAATTAAAACTTTATTTGAAAATATTTGTAATAGAATATATATTTTGAGATAAGGTTATGTATTGATTCGTAGAGCAAATTAATTTAATATAATAGATTTCATTAAAAATTATTGTATTCGTAATTTTAAAAATTTATGAATTAAAGATATTTTTTAAGCAAAAATATTGTTATTGTTTTGTATTGTTTATAAATATTTAAAATATAAACATACCAATCATCTCTTGCTTTTTTCGTTTCAGGACAAGCACAACAAGGTTTCAATGGTTTATCAGATTTTTGCACATCTTTTGATTCTGCACTGACGTTTGGTTTATCATTTATAATACCCATTATTATTTAAGAAAGATAATATTTTGTACAATATAATGTTTTATTAGAAACGTTAACATATACCTAAAGCTTTCAATGCATTTGCACCAGTTTCAGCGCCTCTATGAGATTCATTTTCACGAAATTCAAAATATGGATATGGATAAAACATTTCTTTCTAAATAACTTAAATAATTATTGTATAATAGAATCTTCATTTAATGATTGATTTAATGAAAAAATAGGCAAATTCGTATAAATAAAAATTAACCAAAATAGCATTACATAATTTATGTATTAAAAATAAGTTTTTTTTTTAAATTCTTTATACTAAAAATGTTCTTCTTCTATATATGTTCTTTTTATATATTCTATAAGAATTCTATAAGAATTTTTAATATATATGTATTTTTATTTTATTATTTTTGCATTTATATGAATTTTATTAAATCATTCGCATCTAATATTTCTTTTATTTCTAAAAAAAAAAAAGAACTTATATAATCGATAATTCGATTAATTGAAATTAAGTATCGATTAACAAGTAATTGTTAATCGATTTTCTAATTAATTGAAGTTATATTTTGTATATTAAAATATATTAAAAAATATACATAATATGTAATATATTATGTGATAAAAATATACATAATATATATTGAAATATATATAATAATGTATATAATATGTTTCTCTTTCATTTCTATAAAAAAAAATATAATCGATAATTCGATATAATCGATAATTGATTGATTCTTTGATAATCGTTAATTAGTTTCCGGTTAATCAAGTTTCCGGTTAATTAAAGTTATATTTTGTTTAATTAAAATATATTATATATTATATATTATATATTGAAAAACATTGTTTAATTTTCTATATTTAATTAATTAATATAACATAAAAATTTTTATTGAATATCTGATGTCATTTTCATAATTTATTAATATAGAAAATTTCTACGACGCGGCGTAGAGAATTTTGGTTTACTGCGCAGATGGAAAGAGGGGGAACCGTGTCGCGCCAAATTTACGGCGCAATGAGTCATTGTAGTGTCGAACGTCGTGGGAATAACATATAGATTTTCGATCAGTGTCGTTGTGTTCGTTAACTTTGTAATATTTCCATTGCTACTTTTTTGAGGTATTTATATATTATTATTATCTTTATTTCATTAGTTATTTTTTATTTAATAATTTATTAAATATTTTTATAATAGAAAATTAAAATAATTTCGAACTTTTTTGTCTTGTTAATCGGTTATCTGATTATTCGATTATATTTTCAAACTTTTGTAATAAAATTTATTGTTTTTATTGTTTTTCTTTATTTTAATTGGCTTTAGTTTTTATAATTAAATTAAATTTTCGGTCTTTTTCTGTACAGATTATAAATTAAACGCAAATATATATGATTTCGAAGAAATAAAACGCCAATTTAGAATATGGACGCCATGACGGTTTTTTAATCATTTCAAATAGTTAATCCCGCGCTTTGGAAACATGGTAACGTTCAACAATTTGTAAAATATACGTATGTATACAATTGTTTTTTTTATTAAACTATGATAATAATATATAATTGATATACATATATTTAACAAATAATTCATAGTTAATATATATAATATTATATTATATACATTAATATTATAAATATATTAAATACTTTCTTGAGAATATCAAGATGAAATTGAAAAAAGGTTAAAGAAATTATACTTCTATTTTGAATATAATATAATTATTTTTTCGTTTCAAATTGACAAAATTGGCAAAAATTGATTGAAAATTTCTTTCTAAAAGTAATAATGGCGACTAAAATTTGGCCTTTGTTTATATTCTTTCTTCTTGCCTTGAATGATAATACAAATTTACGGCGCAATGAGTCATTGTAGTGTAGTGTTTAGAAATGTTTTGTTTTGAATTTTGATATGCTTCAAATCATTTTCGAATATTTATAATACGCGAAGAAGTTCTTTTAAAAATATACAATTATAACAATATAATCTAAATTTCAATAACATTCATCATCCAATATAATAAATAATAATTTAAAAATTTAACAGTATTTTCTTCAGCAAACGTTAAATATGAAAAAGAGGCAAAATATTTCCATATTTTTCTTCTTTTTCTACCATTTCTTCCTACTAATATATTTTATTTTCAGAAAATTGTTGACCGCGTGCAATGCGGTCATTAGCGTCAGTGTTTGTTGCGTAGTTTTTTAAATATTTCTATACACAAGCACAATAGCTCTAAATAAATTTAATCGTAATAGATATTCGCGAAGTTCGAGTCAGTGCTTGTTCGCCGATTGTATTTACACGGTCGTGTCAATAGTCTTTTATTTTATTTTATTTTTTTAAATATTCGCTTTCGGTACAGGATAAAATCAGTGCTTCTCTCAACAGTATAAGGCGATCATCCATCACGCGAAGAGGTAATTGTTTTTGTATATTCTTCTATAATTTATTTTTTTTAGTTCCAATTTTTATTGCTATTAAATTTTTAAAATTTATAATCCATAATTCCATTTTTTAAAATTTTTAAATAATTTAAGGAATACATTTTTAATATAAAACATTTAACATAATATTTCATTTTTATTACAGATGCTGATAACCAATTAAACTTTTTGTGATCGCGCGCAATGCGATTATTAAAATCAGTGTTTGTTGCGTAGTTTTTTAAATATTTCTATAGAGCACAATAGCTCTAAGTAAATTTAATCATAATAGATATTCGCGAAGTTCGAGTCAGTGCTTGATCGCCGATTGTACTTACACGATCGTGTCAATAGTCTTTTATTTTATTTTATTTTTTTTAAATATTCGCTTTCGGTACAGGATAGAATCAGTGCTTCTCTCAACAGTATAAGGCGATCATCCATCACGCGAAGAGGTAATTGTCTTTTGCATAATTTTGTATAATTTATTTCAATATTTTACTTTAATTATTAATAAAGAAGTAAAGAATTAAAATTTTAAATTTCTCCTTTATTACAGATTCTTCTCTGAAATTGTCCTAATTTCTCTTCAATCAGAGCGACAATTTCATACTTCGCATCGAACGGTGAGTCGCATGCATTTATATTCCTCCGGTCATTCAATCATGTCGTAGGATGAAAGATCCAAATCGACACGGATGACTGGTTGTATACATAGAATTTTGCACGAGCACAGTGACCACGGGTATTTATTATTATACCTGTGAATAGTAACATTTCTCTTTTTTGTATTTATTTATTAGATCAGGATAGGTTTTCTTGCACATCGTGTTTTTAATAAAATGATATTAATTTTGATTAATTATTGATTAAATTTCAACATAATAAATTGAAAATCAATCTGAGATCTATATTTCTCTATAATTTAAAATAATATATTTACCATTTGAAAAAATTAAATAAAAAATCAAAATTTTAATTGAATAAATATAATGAAGAAGTTGAATATTCTCCAAATTTATTCGTTACAGTAAAAATTTGAATTATTATATTATTATTATTTTATATTATATTATATTATATTATATATTAATATATATAATATATTATATATATTATATTATATTATATTATATTATATTATATTATTATATATACTATTATTAGTATGATAATAAACAATATTAAATTTTGCCTTTAATTTTTTATTATTAACTTAAATATGATTTGAAATATAAAAATTTTCTATGTTTATTTTCTCCGTAAAAATATATAAAATATGTGCAAGAAAACATTTCGCGACAGGTAGATTTCTGAATCAGAGCAATAAATCTTGAATTCTTTTTGCATTTTCGAAAATATGCTTTGATGAAGAGATCGCCTGAGAATTATTTGTATTAATATAATTCCATTTCGAGTCAATTAAATAAATTTTAAATAAATTTAATTAAAATTAATTTAACTTTAAATAAATTTTTCGTTCATTGCTTATATATTTTTTCTTTTTAAAATTAATAATAGTTTTTTTTTAAAATTAATAATAGTTTATTAAATTTATAAAATAAATTTATCAAATTAAAATAAGATAAAATGAATATACGTTGAATTAAAGAATGATCAGTCCGTTTAGATAAAAACATATTAATACTTTTTTTAGTTCAGGATTTTCAGATTTAACCCTTTCCGTGTTAATTGCCAGGATCTCACTCACGTGCCCAGGTGCTACTTGGGTGGGAGAGAGGCGATTGGCATGATGACCCTAGTCCATAAGTTTAAAAAATTTTTTTTAGCGACTGACGATGCGTTAGTGTATCGTGCGCGACGTATTTTCCACATTGTGTGTGTGTGTGTGTGGCTAGGCTGTGGAATTGCGTCGTATTCCATACAGTATATTTAAAATATACTTATTAATCTCATTACAAATGAGACAATCAACGATTTATACAATATTATTACTCTTACTTTTAAATTAAACGATATCAAATTTTCTAAAGTATCGATCAATTAAATAAATAAACAATCAAATTATTAATTTTATTAATTTAATCGTTTTAAAAGACATATCTTTTCATTGACGAATATCTATAATTAAAATCTACAAACGTATTCGTATCGCGATTTACGCAATGGTCACTAGCCATCGTCAGTCGATTTCAGGAAAATGGTACGTAAA